ACCAACCCTAAACTTAACCCCCTTACCCTTGTGCCTAAACCTAACCAAGACCGTAAACCTAACCGCCAGACCCTTTACTCTAAACCTAACCATGTGAAGCTATGAGCGCTAACAAAGCTAAAAATAGAGCCTATTATCACCGCTAACAACGTACCTTTAAACCCACTGAGGTACAGAAGGGGCAGTCTGACCGCTACATATGGGGATGATATAATAACGGCCATTTAATGGACTGATAACATCCGAAGCGGCGGGTGCCTCAACACCTTGGCTGCGCCTAGAAATTCTGTCCATAAAAGTTAAGAACAGAATCGGTTTATAAATATGAGAGGAAAAAAACACAAGTCACTTCAGTGTATAAGTCGCAGGGCATGCAAATTATGCAAAAGACTACAACTTATACGGGAAAAATACGGTAATCGTTTGTAAATATTGATCCATTGATTTGAAATGACTTGCGACCTGTCCAGGGCGTACCCCGCCCCTCGCACAGTGATGGCTGGACATGGGCACCGGCGACCCCCATGGCCCAAAATAGAAGAAGCGGGTAAAAGATGATGGATGGATGGATGGATGGATGGATGGATGGATGGATGATTTGAAATGCAGCTCATGGTCAATAAAAAGTGTCTGGAAAATGAATAATTAGTGAATTCACTAGAATGAGGACTCCGTCGCTCCAGTTGATCAAAGGTTTGACACCAAACATCTGTAAACATCTTCCTGCCTTCAGATCGCTCCGTCTTCACGTGTTCAACGCCCGACGGCTCACCGTCACAGCCGCCACGTCTCACGGGCCCGAGTCGGCCCGTTCCCCAGAAACTTTGATCAAAAATCTAAACAACTTAATGAAAATCAAACGGAGGAGGAGAGAAGGAGCAAACCGCAGACCCACTCCCCAAGACCTCCTCTGCAGCTCGTTGATAGAGGAGCAGGAGCGCAGGTGTTTACGACTCCAACGGTTCTGGAGAAGTTTTCAAAGCAGAAAAACTAAAAAAAACAAGATGGGAAATGTAAGAAGCTCCAAAGAAGAGGCTGAAAAAGAGTTTGCACATGGATTTGTGATCATGTGGAGTAATGGAGGCGTTTCCTGGAGGTCAGAGGAGTTTGAGCTCGTCAGATGAACGAAGAATAAAAACTTAAAGTTTGTTTTTATTTTTATTAATAATAAAGTTTCACTCGCTGCCTTCAGCTTCAGTACATGAGTTGAACTGACAGAACCAACCCCCGGTGTTTTATTAAAGACGGGACTGATAGAAGATCTTCTCCTGCACGAGCCAAACGTTCTCCAAGTCTCCTCCGGATCTAAACAACCTAATTATTCTTATTATATTAAATATTTAGAGGTGAAAAGAAGCAACGCTTAGAGCAGAGTTAGATCTTTGTCGACTTGTCTAATCTGGATCATGAAACCCGAGGCCTGTTCCGATTTAAACATGGAAGATTAGACGTTTGTTCGTGTTCGTTAATTTACGTTTTCATTTGAACGCCTCGCAGACCAGACAGAGGTTGTCCACCGGCCGTTTCTGGCCCCTGAGCCATATGTTGCCCACACATGGGTCATGGTTTGGATGAATCACGTCCAGAACAAACTGAACACTGCAGCTGTCGTTCAGCATGAGATTATTCTTTCAACAAAGCATCAGATTAAATAAAAAAAGTGAAATATTTCTCTGCAGCTGCTTAATAGAAAACAAGCCCTGCAGTCTTCAAATACTCTGCATGCATTTTACTGAGAACTACAAATGAAAACTAGTTTTTCCCACAGAGAATGAACTTTCTTGAAAGCAGGAACTGTTTAAAAAAATTATTCTCTGATTAGAGTTTTAATCTGCAGCCTGCATTTGATCCAACTCTGAAAATACAGAACTAAACCTGCAGAGGTTTAAGGTTTGCACTTATTAGCCATGAAACGGAACTTGTGCAGAATGAAGCAACATCCACATCAGACAGAACCACCCAGACCTGCAGGAGCACCACAGTCCGGTTCTTGACTCACCTCCGACACCAGAACCAGCAGGTTCCACCGAGGAGCAGTTCTACTTCATTACACACTCCAGAGAGAAAAACGATGATTTGTGATGAATTCCCACTTCAAGGATCTTCAGTCCGAGTAAAGAGAAGAAAGTCTGCAGAGAAATCCAGCAGCGCATCCGAACCGGGGGAGGGTCCTGAAGTGGGTCCACAGAACCTGGAACAGCAGTGACAGGAGGGGGGAGGAGACAAGCAGGAGGGGGAGGTCCAGAGAGGAGGCCCAGACTCAGTGATGGTTTTATGACTAAGTTTGTTCAGGAGGTTTTTTTTTAAATGTGTGAAAACAGCTGAGAGTGAAAAAGTTCCAGTCACAGATTTACAGTCGTGCACTGAGCTCAGAGCTTGACGGAAAAATAATCAGTTTGAAAATGACTGGAAGCCAAAAAATAATAATAATAATAAACCCTCAGAACCTGAGTCATTATTCTCTCAGTCTCCAAAAATTTAAATTAAAGCAACATCTGTTGAGTCTCATGTGTGGAAATGTTCCTTTATTCTTCCTGGACCTCTCACACACCTGATCCTCATCTTCTAATCAGCACCTGATTTGAGTCAGCTTCTCCCATTACATACAAAAATAATAATAATTATTATATATATATATATATATATGTGTGTATATATATAATTATTTATTTATTTTATTTCGGCTGCTCCTTGTTCAGGGGTCACCACAGTGAACTAAGTCGCACAAAGACTTGGCGATTGTTTTTACTCCAGATGTTCCTCCTGATGCAACCACAGACCACGAGCTGCCACAGCCCTCTGTGTGGAGCAGGGAGCTGCCATAGGGTGGCCGGAGGAGCAGATGGTGGGAGTTAAGTGCCTTGCTCAAGGGCTCAAGGTGGGGCAAATGTTGGTGGAGGCAGGGGTGGGTGTTTCATATTTGTCACCCACATTTTGATGTTGTCGGTCCGGGGAGTCAAACAGGCAACCTCCTGATCACAGGCCCACCTTCTGTAAACCTCTGTGCCACCACTCCCCCCATTATAAAATCACTAATGTGTCCTAGATGTCTTTGGTTCTGAAACTGTCCCATTGTCATTTTGCAACCACAGTTATTTACTTCCTTGAGATCCTGCTGAGGAACCAGAGCAGATCCTGAGTGGACCAGGCTAACATTTATTTAAAGGTCTGATTTCATAAAAACCCTGTGGAGGTGTCCCGACAGGGTCCCAAAGAGAATCCACAGAGTCCAGACTTTGCACAAACAAACTGAGCAGTCTCTAACTCCAAGAATCAAACGTTCAGATCGCTTTGATTTCTTCATCCTGGAACCAGTTTCAGACTAAACTGGTTCCTGCTGCCTCATCAGATCCAGATCCACACCAGATCTACTGCGGCCTTCAAGACCCGCTGAGAAACAGCTGGAACTGTTGTCTTCGATAAAACAAGAGGTTCACTTTAGAGTCTTAAAGCCATTTTTAGTAACAGGTCAACGACAACAGCAGATATTTTCTGGTTTGTGGTATTTTAAGAGGCTTTTAAACAAAAGTTCAACTGATCCGAGATGTTTGGGGTTTTTTTTGTTCACATCAAAAACTTTACATTTCTCTTTAGTTTGATGACAGATCTGAATGAATTCTGTAATAAGTGATCAGCTTCACCTGCTTCAACATTAACTTGGTGTGAAATGTCTCCACCTGTTGACAATGTAATGCCATAAAACTAACCTTTTCACGTGCAACAAGATTTTTTTTTTTCTAAATTCCATCCATTCATCATCTTTACCGGCTTCTTCCTTCATGGGTCACAGGTCACTGGTATCCAGCAATCACTGTGTGAGAGGCGGGGGACACTCTGGACATGTCTCCAGTCCATCACAGGGACACATAGAGACAACGGAGACAAACAACCATTCACACCTAGAGACAATTTAGAGTTACCAATCAGACTAACATGCATGTTTTTGGTCTGTGGGAGGAAACCACAACTGAGCCACCGTGCAAATTATACAGTGAAATTTAATAGTTAATAAAATAAAAATTTCAAAGTTAATAAAATGAAATGTGCTGTCAATTTTATTTCTGTAGCGCAATGAAAACAACAAGGTGCTTCACAAGTTGGTTAAAAACAAACTGGATAAAATAAATTCAAATTAAAATCAACAAATGCATGAAACTAAATTTTTAACCAAACTAAAAGAAGAAAACTTCCCGACATAAAAGCCTGAGGAGACTCGGACTGAACTTTAATTCATAACCAAAGTTTTCATTGAAAAGACTTGAGGGTTTATCAAACAGTTTAGATTGATTTTCTTTTTTCTCTGCCGCCATGGAGCTCTGACTGGTGACAAACTCGGGCAACAGTTGCTGTATGCTCAGCCTCCATCTCACCCGCTGAAGTTTGTAGCTCCTTCACAGTGGTCCCATGTGTCTTGGTGGTCTCTCTCACTATCCTCCACCTTCATGGTCACTCAGTCTGTGAGGACGACTTGCTCTTGGTAGATTTACACACCTTCCCATATTCCTTACAGTTCTTCTCAGTGGATTTAACAGAACTCCTGGGGATGTTTCAGACCTTAGAGATCCTCCTGTATCCATCTCCTGACTGAAAAGCACAAGAACTTGTCTTTGAGGTTAATTAGGATATTCACCATAAAGGCGGTGAATGTTTATGCATAAACTTATTTTACAGGACACATTTTTGTTTACATTATACTAATTTCTAGAAATGTGAATTTACTTTGCGATTCATTTTTTAAATTTATTTGTGAAGAAGGTTAAGTTATATATATTGACCATGATTGGTTTATGACAGCACTATCTATCTATCTATCTATCTATCTATCTATCTATCTATCTATCTA